ACAGACTTTAGTGTAGGTATCACATCTGTTGAGAAGTTTTGTGAGCCTGCCCAAAGAAAATCATCAACATGACATGCGAGTACTCCAGTAACCTTACACTGTTCATCCAACCAATAGAATACTGCTGGATCTACTTTAGACATTTTACCACCTGTACTCAGCATGATTTCTTTCACTTTGTTGTACCAATACAATGATGCTTCTGCAAGGACGTTAACACACTTGTTTAGTTTCCATAGAACATTTTCTTTTCCTGCTTCAGGAGGGGGCCGGACATAGATTTCTCTGGACAACTGCATGCCCTGCAAGAAAGCAGATTTGATGTCCATAGAATGGACTTGCCACTTATTTTGACAGATTACAGCTAATAACAGCCTAAGAGAGTCAGAAGCACAGGTTGGAGAATCTTTCTGCAGCTCGTGAATATTAAGCTCTTCAAAACCTCTGGCTACGAGTCGCGCTTTGGGCACAATACCATTCAGAGTTTCTTTGAGACTATAGACCCATCTAGTAGAGACACACTTTTGACCTTGCATCATCAACTTCCTCAAAAACATTGTTTTTGTACCAATTCACCATTTAATCCTGTTTAGCTGCATCAAATGAAATATACTTTGTTATGAGTACATCAGCCTCTCTATCAGTTGATTCAATGTGAAGATTATCAACACATGACATATCCACTGACTGTTTTTGCCCATCACTGCCATCATTTTCAATATGTTGCAGATTGAACCAGTTTTTATATTTTCCAGAGGCTTTGCCTGGTCTGCATAAAACCTTGGCTCTCTGTAGACCACCACAGTCCTGATTCATAAATGTTACAGTCTGTCCTGTTTTTAACTTTACACCAGCAGAAGAGACAGGATTACCACACACATCGTGATCTGTTTCAGGTTGTCTAACAAGAGTCCCTCCATGTCTTACAAATATAACAGCTCCATCCTGACCAATAACTACCCCTGGTCCCTTCCATTCAGGACAGTCTGCTCTTTTGTAATATACCTTGTCTCCTGTCACATACATGTCATCTGTGGGCCTAAGCTGCTTACGTAGTGCCCTTCTTATTCGCTCAGAAGTCTCTGCTTCTGTAAATGCTTTCCTAGAAGCATGTAAAGCAGAAATGTGTTCTCCCACTTTAGCACTCACAGTGGTACCTTCTAGAGCAGGCAATTTATCAACTAATACAGAAGGAAGGTTAGGATTCTGTCCAAACACTAATTGGTATGGACTGTAGCCATGAACATTCAACATACTGTTCTTAGCCATGAGGGCCCAGTCAAGGGCAGTGTGCCAGTCACATCCATTTTCTGGTTTGACCTTCAGGATGATCTCGGTGAGTGTTTGGTTAGGTCTCTCGAGTAGTCTGTTGCTCCAGGGACTGTATCCAGCTATTGTTCTTGTCTCTATGTTAAAGTTTTCAGCCATGTCTCTGATTTCTTGGTTGTTGAATTCCCCTCCATTATCACTGTACAGCTTCTGGGGGGCACCATGGACACTTATCCAAGTGTGAATGAAGGAGTTGACAATTTCAGATGACTTCTTTGTTTTCACAATGTTTCCGGCGCTGATACGCGTAAAGTGGTTGATGATGTGAAGATACCATACACCTGGTTCTAACTCATGTAGATCCACTGCCACTGTCTCCTTATATTCTGAAGCCATGGGCAACCCCACAGCAGGCTTTGGCTTTGTCCTCTTGTACTTTTGGTATATTTCACAGTCATATACTATTTGTTGTAGAATAGTAAAACATTCTTTGTCCTTATTTCCTGAACTGTGAATGAGCCTGTCTGCCGACGCGTGACCAAACTGTTTATGGAGCTTCAGAAGGACTTTGCGTTTCTCATCTGGAGACATATTTTCTGTCACTGTTAGAACTTCCTCTTCAGTTTGATCTTTTTTAGTGTCTTTGTCTCTGATATCGACACAGTAATGTCCAGAACTAGTAAATTCAAGAGGAATAGATTGTTTGAACATCACTGCACTGTACTTTTCCATGTCCAAAATAGTCCCTGCTTTTTTCAGTGACGTTTTACTCCGCAGGAGTGGAATGTCAACCTTGACAACTTCTGTTTCAATTAGGCATTTTGTCAGTCCTATTTT